CATACATTTATGCGCAGCAGGAACAGAAGGGAAACAGGAACAGAAAATCAGCGTGAAATCCAATACAGTGGTTACCTTTAGGGAAGGAGCGGCTCGAGGGCTCGGGTGCTCGTTCTTTATTTGTAATGTGTTATTTTAAGAACCTGAGGCAAATGTGGAAAATATTAAGATCTGTTATGCTTGGTGGTGGAGCTGGGTATTTATTTGAGATACTATTCAGTGTGCATTTCTGAAGGCTGAAATATTTCAAGATAAACATTAAGGAGTCAGTTCTCTTACTGCTGAAGTGTAGAGGGACCATAATAAGGAATTCATAGTTTCAGTGTCTCCCAAGAAAACCGATTTCGCTCCCTGGGGAGTGGACTTACTCTCTGGGACTCGCTGATTCTCTAGGGCTTTGAATACACTTTGGCTCTTTCAGGGAAGAATTCGAGGTAGCTTTCAGGAAAGAGCACACACCAAGAACTAGGGAGACATAAACACAAGCAGAAGGCCAGGATCAAAGATAACAGATATTCCATCAATACTGGTGACCACAGTGGTGTGATCGAGTTTCCAGCTTGGCTCAGGATTTCCTGCAACATCAACCACCTCTCCACCTCAGGCTGACCTGGAAAAACAGGCGAGGAAAACTAACCTTTGTTCTTCAAGCTTTAAAATTAACATTTTCCTCAATAGCCTTCCTTCTCTCTATTTCTTCTTGGTTTTGCTTTGCTAACTAGCCAGGCCCCTCCTTCACCCTTATTTACCTCTTCCTCTCCGACCAGAGTAGCTTACTAAGAGTTTCAGAGCTGGCAGAACTAAAGCCTGGACTTACCCACAGAGGAGATGACTTGGGTATATGCAGGTCTACCATGCAGGCATGGGATCATAGGACAGGGGTGGATTGGGGAGATGTCTCAGTCTGTGACGTGCATGCCACGTGAGCAATGACGAGCTGAGTTCAATCCTAAGCACCCATGAGAAGCAGCCAGGACAACGCTATATTGTAATCTGTCATTATGTCTGCAATCCCAGCGCTGGGGAGGTGGAGAAAGGAGCCCCGAGATCACCTGCAGCCTGTCTAGCCTAACCAGCAAGCTCCAGATGCAGTGAGACACCTTGTCTCATATAGATCTATAATATAGGATAAACCTACTAAAATCTGTACATCTAAAAAAACTAATCAAGAGAGAGGACTCTTGACTAAAATGCTCAATTCCCATCCTGAAAGGCAAAGGGATGGACATCAGAGGAAGAAGAAAACAGGAAACAAGTTAGGAACCTGCCACAGAGGGCCTCTGAAAGGCTCTGCCCTGCAGACTATCAAAGCAGATCCTGAGACTTATGGCCAACTGTTGGGCAGAGTGCAGGGAATCTTATGAAAGAAGAAGGAAATAGTAAGATCTGGAGAGGACAGGAGCTCCACAAGGAGAGCAATAGAACCAGAAAACAGGGGTCTTTCCAGAGACTCATACTCCAACCAAGTACCATGCATGGAGATAACCTAGAACCCCTGCACAGATGTAGCCCATGGCAGCTCAGTGTCCAAGTGGGTTACATAGTAATGGGAAGAGGGACTGCCTCTGACATGAACTGATTGGCCTGCTCTTTGATCACCTCCCCCTGAGGGGGAGCAGCCTTACCAGGCCACAGAAGAAGACAATGCAGCCACTCCTGATGAGATCTGATAGACTAAGATCAGAAGGAAGGAGAGGAGGACCTCCCCTATCAGTGGACTTGGGGAGGGGCATGCGTGAAGAAGGGGGAGGGAAGGGGGGATTAAGAGGGGAGGGGGAGGGGCTTATGGGGGACACAAAGTGAATAAAGTGTAATTAATAAAAGTTAAAAAAAAAGTGTGAGTGACGTCAACTTCTGGCCCCCACAGTCACATGCACTAACACACATATGTGAACATCGCTCCACACCCCCAAATATAGGAAGATGTGAATTATTATCAACTCTCCATAAGACGAATTATAATCAGGGAAATCATAAAACACTAACAGATGTGACTATATTAAGAAATATAAGAAAAATCAGTAATTTTCTAAAATGTAAACTAGTATGACACCTGCTGCTAAATGCTGATGGCTCAAAAACTTATAATTTAATTCAATCCCAGCGTCTCCTTTCACCTCTCCATTCCTAGAGCCACGCCCACTAAATGTCTGCAGTGGACATTTAACCGCTCTCTGCTCCTCCTCTGGATGGATGTTCCGTATACCACAGCCTCTGTCTGTGGCTGGCTACTGGGTCTTCCCAGGGCCATCAGTCAGCCCTGTTTCTCCTACCCCACATCCTACCAGTCAGGAAATGCTATAGCCTCTGCCGCTAATGTCCATCCACAGTGCAGCCACTTCCTGACACCCCAGCACTGCCATCGGGACCCCCAGTGTGTCTTCCTGGATGCGCCCAGTGCCTGCTCAGCATGGCCTCTCTAATTCCATTCTTGCCCTTGACACCTCAAGCTGATCAGCCATATGTTACTGGTAAGAATCTGGCTGGTGTTCTTTTTGTTTTGTTCTGTTCTTTTGTTTTCTGCGAGACAGAGTTTCTCTGTGTAGTCCTGGCTGTCCTGGACTTGCTTTGTAGAGCAGGCTGCTGGCCTCCAACTCACAGAGCTCCATCTGCTTCTGACTCCCTGAGGGCTGGGGTTACAGACATGCACCACCACGCCTGGCTACTTGGCCGGTATACTTTTCATATATCTTCACTATATAGAAATATGCATGTGTTCATATGTATTTCATGTAAGTATTTATACTTTATGTCCTTCAGTGTACTATACATATTGGAGAGATTCTGTTTTAAGTTCTCAATATAACAGCAAAACACGAAGCCAGGCAGTGGTGGCACACACCTTTAATCCCAGCACTTACAGAGGCAGAAGCAGGAGGATCTCTGTGAGTTCGAAGCCAGCCCGGTCTATAAAGTAAATGCAGGATAGCCAAGGCACAGACAAGTCCTGTCTTAAAAAACTACGACAACCAACCAACCAAACAAACAAACAAAACAACAAAACACAAAAGCAGATCAAAAGGAACACTAAGCAGGAAGTGTATTCTTGAGGCTGGTGAGGGGCTTGGCCACCAACCCTAATGGAGTCCAATCCCTGGACCTGCGTGGTGGAAGCAGAGAACAGAGTAGTGCCCATTGTCATCTGACATCCACATGTCTAACCTTAGTATGCACACAAACACACATACACACCTACACAATGAACAAAAGTATACAACACACACAGAGACTTTTCTTGACAGTGAAAGCCCCGCATTCTGGTTTAGGGCTGAGCTTCCAAGCTTTGCTCGGCCTCAGCTGTTCAATACTCAGACAGGTGTGACTCAAACGCATACATCAAGCTGCTGGCTTAAATAAGAGGGCGCCTGCGACGACCTAGCCACCTAAGACACTGCTCGGTGAGGTTTGCTTTCACAGCCACTATCATTCATCCAGGAGAAAATGTCTCAGCATGTCCCCTGGCCTGGTCAGGAATGGACCAGGAATGTGAACGGACTGTGCTGGGCCCCACACTGGACATTCGGTGAAGCGCCCTGAGTGGGGAGTTGATGCCCGCTCCATCCTCGGATCAGCACAGTCACTGCAGAACCAGCGGCGCACTCGAAGTACCCGTGGATCTGCTGAAGCTGAACATGGATGGGCGCAGTATCTCCCTACTGAGGAGAGATCGGGTGCTTCTCCTTTGGGGGTTTAAGGCCAGCCTGTTCTAAATGTGTTCCATTTCTGCTTGAGATCACATCAGGAAACAAAGTGATTCTTTGGCACACAGTAACCTTCCTGGGGTGGGAGTCGGGAGGTCTGTCATTGGTTCTCCTAACCTTATAGCCCTGAAAATCCCAAGCAGAATTTGTTCCAGGGATCTCCATTCACTCTCAACAGAGGACCCCGGGTCACCTGGTGGTCCTTTACTTGTGAGGTGATTATTCTCACCTCAGAACCCTAGTAAGCAAAATGAGCTTTGGGTGTAGAAACTGATAAATGGGTGTAGAACCTAATGGATAAATGAGAGAGAAAGCCCAGTGTCTAAGAAACCATGCTTAGAAGAGATGGCAGAAAAGGGAATGTTTCACCTGAGTAATTCTCATCAAAGGAATAATGATTCCTCCCACCTCTTTAGCACGCCTTTAAGGTGAACCATCTTCCTGAGGGGTGGTCACTCAACCAGCCTGTTGACCAGCCCAGCTGCGGTCCCAAGTCTCCATCCAGGCCAGGAGAAGATTCCATTCTCTTGGCCAGAAGGAAATGGCTCTCCATTACTGGGTCTGTAACACAATGAAGAAAATGGGTTCAGGTGCATCCCAAGCTAGTTAGGCAATAACTCCTGCTAACCCAGCCTTGTCATGAAAAAGTCCATGCTCAGGAATACCATGTTCCCTGTCTAGCTGGAACACTCCTCTGGGAGAGGCCGGCAGAGGCTCTGGGGAGGCAGGTCTCCTAGGCCGCAGCAGCACTCAGCTTCCGCCCAGGCCTTTCTGCTGGGCTTTGTTGTCTTACTTCTCGCTCTCTTCTCTCTCATGGGGTATTCTTACTGACACAACAGCTTGTAGGCAGAATCTGAGCACATTAGGGAGGGGGCCCTTACTGACCTGAAAGACTGGCTTCCTGAGGTTGTATCACCATCTCTTCTTATCAGAATGGGCCAGCTCAAACCCCTCATCATCTTATTTTCCTGTTTGATTTTCAAATTAAACTTAAAAACTAGAATCTTCCACCCCTAATATTTCTGAAGGGTGGGTATGCACACAGCCTATGAAAAGAGGCCTGCAGTGGTCAACAGCAGGAGGACACACCACTCGAAGGAGCGCATCACACACATGACTGCAGCTCACATCCTCTCCAGAGGCTTTAAGACCAAGCATCCTCTTCCTTTTCAGCCACAGTGCCCGCCCATGGTGCCCTGAGGTACCTGAACCAGCCTGCTCTTCTCGGAGGACTAGTTGAGCAGCAGAGATCCCAGCAACAGAACATAACCCCACAAGACATTGGACATATTTTTTTTACTAATGTATTTATTCTTCACTCATAAAAAAGAACATATGCTTGGCTTTGAAATCATGACATAAAATAAAAAGGCAAAGAGAGAGAGAGAGAGAGAGAGAGAGAGAGAGAGAGAGAGAAAAGTCTCAGCTAGAGGGTGGTAGAGGCATCTCATGCTAGCCCATCAGCATACTGCACGCTTGGGGCTGGAGCAGGCGCACCAGTCAGAGCAGGAGCTGAAGAAGCATTTCCATCCCAGCAGTCAGGCCTCCTCCAGTGCTGCCTGGTTTCCCAAGGCCACGTGTGGTCAGCATGCATGACAAAGGAGCCCTCCCTCTCTCTGGCTTTCCTCCCTTCTCAGTGTAGGGAGTGAGGCTATGATGCCACTCTTCTCAGTCTGTGGATAGTGGTGGTGTCTCAACATGTCTAACCAGCATCTTGCCAAACTTTCACAAAGCTCCAGATTGCCTGGGTCACCCGGTGCAGGACTACTTCTGGTCAGTGATCTGCTGCAGGCAGAGCTTCATATAGGAGTCCTTGTTTCGGATCTCTATGACAGCGTCCCTCACCAGCTCAATGAACATCTGCGGCCACAGCTTTTGCAGAGCCTCATTCTTCATATTGATGGCCGTGGCCTCCTTCACAAGATCTTCTACATACATCTTGCAGAACTTCTTCTTGTCCTTTATTTCCTGTTAAGAAAAGAAAAATTTACATTAAATCAAAATGAATCCAAAAGCCAAATCAATAACTAACAGAATCAGAGAAGCTTAGAATAATCTGCTCTGCACCCCCATCCCTCTCCTGCCACACTCCTTCAGGGCAGAATTCTCTTCCAGCAGCTCGTGACAGAGGGCTCTACCTCGGTAGGCAGCAAACAAGGCCTGACTGTCTTCCAGTCCCCTGTCTCATTTGAGCATGGGGCTTTCCAGAGGTGAAAGTGCTGGGGTACTGAGGCTGAGCATTCTAATCAGTCTGGGGTTAGCCACTATCTGTGTAATCCTTTATACTCACACTTTGAGTTTACTCTCTAGTATAGAAAAATACAGAACACCACAGGGTAGCCTAGACCGTTTGAACAAAGTTTGAGAAAAGTGCCAAAGAAGAACAAAAAATATCATAAGCCATGATATCATGCCAGGCCACTGCCATGGAAAGAGCAGCACCCTCACCCAGCTTCTGGGTCTGGCAGTCTGAAGATGACAAAGCAGCTTCTAAAGACAGCAGGGCGAGTTCGGAGCCAGACAACATTTGGGCATTCAACTTTAATTTCAATAAAGCTATTCTGTTGGGGTTGGGGATCTAGCTCCAGTGGTAGAGGTTTTTAGTCTAGTATTCGTGAAGACCCTGGGTCTGATTCCCAACACACACACACACGCACACACGCGTGCGCACACACACTCAGTATTTATTTTGTTTTATTAGAAGAAAAAGTTGATGCAAAGTATGTCTATTCCTGCCTTGCCTTAACTACATGTGATAATGAGAATTATATTCTAAGTAACTTGCGTTGATCAAGGTTAAATGCTGAAAAGAAACTTAAGGAAAAGATTGATTTAAACCTCAAACTCAAAACACAAAAATTCTTAGATGAATTAAATTAATGAACAAAGTGAAATGGCTAGCCAGCCAGTGTCTAGGGAGGGCAGTCCCTGTACTAGAACATCCTCAGCAAACACAGGGAACAGGAGAACCTGGGCTGGGCACTCAGGAGGCTGCAGCAATCCGGCAGCTGTCAGGAACTCACAACTCAACCCTGGACAATTCCCGAGCTTCCAGTTTTCCTTGCCTGTCTAGAAGGAGAACTGGACCCTTTAAAGTCTCTTAAATCTCGTTTGGATGAGGCAGAAGAATGGATGGCTAGGTGAGCCTCAAGCAACAGGACGAGCAATGAAAAGGACTGTTTAGCCTGATTTGTGGGCAGCTCACCTCCATGAGTTTTCCCAGCCACTCAGTGCACACAGGAGAGGGGCTGAGCCCTTTGGCTGCACTGGGGTAAATGCTTCTCAAGAGGTGGGGTGCAGGGTGGAGAGAAGGAATGCTGGGCTGGGAGTCAAGAGGCAGAGATTAAGGGCCATGGGCAAGTTCTCCAGCAGTAAGTGGTAATCAGGGTGCCAGGCCAGCTCTCCTGACGGCTAGCTTGGTGCCTGTCCCACAGTGACTTGTGGCTTCAGGTTTCTCCCTTCACCTTTGAGATTTCTCGGAATAGGAGCCGACATCTCCTCATGTTACTTCCTCATTGCGTTTTTATTGATCAAGCCACTTTAATACAGACCTGTTTGTTTGATTCTGCTGAAGCTATTTCCATTAAAATGTGACCTTGACTGCCAAATTTATAAAGAAAACCTCCCTGTATAGTTGGTCTTTTGGAGTGTTCAAAAGCCACATCTACACAACCAAGACTGTAAGGTCTCCTCCCAATTTTTAAAAATAAAAACTTCATGGGCTGGAGAGATGGCTGAGCGCTTAAGAGAACTGTCTGCTCTTCTAAAGGACCCAGGTTCAATTCCCAGCACACACATGGCAGCTCACAACTGTCTGTAATGCCAATTTCAAGGGATCTGACACCTTCACACATAAAATAAAAAGTTTTAATTTTTTTATTTGGGCTTTTATTTGATCTGGACTTAATTTTTTGTTGAACATTAAGGATGGGTTCAGGGCATTTTCCTCAGCATTAGTTATGAAGTAGACTGCCCCCGCCAGTTTATCATGGCTGCTGTCTGCCCAAGTCGCCCATGTATGCACAGTGTCACTTGCTTTGGTTCTGTGTTGTCCAAAGTATGTCTATTCCTGTCTTGCCTTAACTACAACATTGTTCTAGTTGGCTCTTGTCAACCTGACACAATCCAGAGATACCTGGGAACAAAAATCTCAACTGAGAAAATGCCTTCTCCATTAGATTGGTCTGTAGGCAAACATATACGCCATTTTCTCTGTTGATTGATGCTGGAGGGCTCATTATGGGCTGTGTCACCCAGGGCTGGTTGTCGTAGGTGGCATAAGAAAGCAGGCTGAGCAAGCCATTGGAAACAAGGGAGCACCTCACCGTGGCGCCTGTCTAGTTTGCCTCCAGTTTCCTCCTTGAGCTCCTGCCCTGACTTCCCTGGATGAAGAACTACAGGCTGTGAGACAAAATAAACCCACTACTCCTCAAGTAGCTTTGGCCAGTGTTTTAGCAACAGACACCTAACTAGACACATATCCTTACCATAGTTACTTGGTGTCCAGTAAAACACCTTTACTCTGAGATGCTTAAGGTTCTAGTTCAATCTGATAACTTTCAGGGTCAAATACCCCTGCACAAACTTGAACTAGGACTGCGCTATATCCACGGACTTAGGAAGATTTAGCGCTGTTTCTATGAATATAAACTTTCCAGTTCTTCTTCAGTGACCAGCAGCAAAGCTCAGTTTCCCCCAGTAAGGGCACGCATGTATGGTTTTGTTCACATGTCAGCTGAAGTGGACGCGTGTGCTTTCCCCGCTGCTCCCCACTCTATTTTCTGAGGCAGGGTCTCTCGCTGAGTCAGGAAGGCTGGCTGGACAGAAGCCCCAGGGCTGGGACTACAGCTGCACACCACCTCATCAGGCTTTGTACGCTGGCTTGGGATCCCAGTTCAGGCCTTCATGCCCGTGAGGGCAACACTCTGCTGACTGCGGTGTCTCCAGTCCCAGCTTATAATTATTCTCTTATCTGTCCCAGTGCATGCCAACATGCTAGATTCACCTCTACACTGGCTGTAAGGTTTGTAACCCATTTAATGTGCTTCTGTATTCTGCTTGATGTTTTATTTCTTCGTGTGTGTGTGTGTGTGTGTGTGTGTGTGTGTGTGTGTGTGTGTCTGGGTTTGTACATGTGACTGCAATATTCACTTTCACCACAGGAGGACATGAGAGCCCTTGAAGCTGGACCTAAAAATGTTTGTGTGCTAGGGACCAAACTCAGGTCCTCTGCAAGAACAGCAAATGGGCCTCACTGCTGACCTGTCTCTCCAGCCCCAACCTGGTATTTTAAAGTATTTTTGCATCAACATATCTAAGTATCTTTCCTGGCTTTTCTTCTTGTAGCAATTTTGGTGGATTTTGGAGTCAATGCTGTGTTCTCTACCTTGAGAAAACAGGAGTTTTCCTTTTTAAAACTTTCCTCAAAAAACTAAAAATTAAAATTCTCAAAGACCTGTTTCTTTTTTTTAGGCCACTGACTTGGCAGATTTCCCTATGAAATTGTCCCTGTCTGCATGCAGCAATTTTATATTTTTTAAATAATTCTTTCATGAGAATCTGTATATTTAGACTCTCTAAGTACATATATACTCACAGGACCAACTACCTTAGGAAGAGGACTCATAATCCTGCCAGCCTGGCTTTCATTTTCCTCTTTTGGCAAAACCAGGAATTCTGTATTGGCTGACATTCCGCTCTCAGCCTCTTCCTGCCAGCTCAGTGTCTCACTTGACACCTTCTTTGAAGCACTGAACTTCTTTTCACCTGACTCTGCTCAATTACAGAAACACGACTGTGGAGGTGAGTATGCGTGATGCCAGGAATCACCCTCAGCCCTGCGCACGTGCTCCACGGAGGTTCCCAGGCCTCCCACACTAGGACTTACAGCAGGAGCAGAGCAGGGCGCAGAAGAAGCCCATAGGCTTCTGTGGATTACGTCTGAGACCCAAACATGCTTCCGACTGAGGGCAGAGTAGAGGGAAAGGGGGAAAACCAGAAACTCCAACTAAGTTCCAATTAAAGGAAGTGCTGGCTGCTCCCCAGCGCATTTCCTCTCTGGCACCAGCATGTGCGCTGTCAGGCATGCTGGTCTTCATGCAGAGGTCAGAGCTGCCAGATGAATACCTGAAGGCCACCTGCCTACTCTTGTACTTCTAATTTATATATACACTGTGAACCTCTCTCTCCTCCCTCTCTGTTTACACCTGTATCTAACTTGTCTGAAGAGCTACAGACATTGAGATAGACCTCATGCAGTGCCTCATACATGCCATTAGCTGCTCGAGAAATGTGTCTGCTTTCTTGCTCTCTGGGTCTCTGTCACCTCACAGGTCTGCTGCAGCATGGCACTCTCTGGCTGTTTACCTGTGAGTGCCATCAAGGCAGATGCTGCATGCGTCCTGCCCTGCGGCTCCAGCCGTACAATGCTGCTTCCCCTCAGCAAACCTAAGAGCATGGTAATATGCCCCCTCTCCTCCCGCTAAGATGCTCTGATCAGACAGAAGCAGCATGCAGTGCCACTAGGAAATTCATGGTATTGGATAAAAAGTATAAACTAAACACCATCAGCCAAGCCCAGAGCTCTGGAGCGGAGAGTCTGTTGTGTCCTTTGTTGCTCTGGCTCCAGCTGGACAAATATGGAAGCCTTTCTCCCCTTTCTCTTAATTGAGGTAGATCAGGCATGTGGGGCCTATTTTAGTCCAGATTTTTGGCGCAGCTTTCTTTCGACGATGGCTTTGAGCTGCGATGGAAACCCAGGAGCCAGAGGCGCTTCTCAAGCTTGCTGTCCTCCTAGGCTCTGCCGCTCTCCCCAGCACTGTGTGTAAGGAGGACAGAGTACACAGCCCAGCCCTCATGAGCACCTGTGCTGGAGCCACAGGCCCTCGAACTGTACCTCCAGCTTCTCGTGGTAGAATTCTCTGGTGGTGTAATTCAGTGTCGCGCGGTTCGTGTTTTCCCCAATGAGCCTTTTGCTGTTGCTGTTCTCCTCACTGATGATGCCAGGTTTTTTACCTTTGCTTTCGAGCAGATATCGGAATTGCTTTTTCCTGCAGAAGATAGTAAAGGGACGCAGAGTTACTTATCAGAATAAAAAGATCACGCACAACTTTTGCTGACTTCAGAGGGAGTGAATGCTTTGCTGAAGACCAGATTTGTGAGTCTGAATAGTTAATGTTTGAGCTCAGCTTAGTACCCCAATATTTCCATTAATTAGGGTGTTTGATGCACATTATTTATTTGTTTTGAGGCATAGTCTCGCCATTGTAGCCCAGCTGCCTTCAAACTCCCTGTCCTTCTGCCTGGCCTCCTGAGATGATGACTTGTGACAGCATGCTGAGCTCCACCTACATTCTTTTGTTCTGTGACGGCTAACTATCAACATTAACACATCGCAAACATTTCTACAATGATAAAAGAACTCCACCTTAACAGGAAACAATTTAAAAACTGAATCAAAGCATAAGCCAATGAAAGAGATGGAGGGCCAAACCCCAGTCTTCATAGCTATAAGACATGCTAGTTTGCTCATATAACCACATACAAAGCTCATGGTTCTTTTGTTCATCTGAGTTATATTCCTAGCTAGGAAATCAAATTAAATGTGGAGTTAACATTAAGTGATACCAAAAGTAGTGAGAATCCCCACACATGATGGCAGAAAGCTAGGTGAGGAACAGAGGCATCCAGGGATCACAAAGGGAACACCAATGGCTCCTGGAGCATCACAGAGCTCTCTACCCAGAATCCTATGGGGCTGCCACTCGTCTCACATGAGTCCCTTTTCCACTACTGAGGATGCCTCTGAGAACTCATAACATGACTTCATTGGGAACTACAGATTGAGAGCAGAAACTTTTAAAACTCTTTTTTCTTTCTCTAATTTAAAAGAATAGTGTGGTCATATGGCAAATTATTAAACTGATGGATTTCTGTATATTGAATCTGCATGCCTAGGATGAAGCCTACTTGGTCATGGTGGATGATATTTTTGATGTATCCTTAGATTTGGTTTGTGAGTATTTTACAGAGTATTTTTGCATCAATGTTTGTAAGGGAAATTGGTCTGAAATCCTCTTTCTTTGTAGGGTCTTTGTGTGGTTTAGGTATCAAGGTGACTGTGGCCTCAGAGAGTGAGTTCTGTTCCTTCTGTTTCTATTTTGTGGAGTAGTTTGAAGAGTATTGGTATTAGCTCTTCTTTGAAGGTCTGGTAGAATTCTGCACTGAAACCATCTGGCCCTGGACCTAGACCCCCTGCTCAGATGTAGCCCATAGGCACCTCAGTCTTCATGTGGGCTCCTGAGTAAGGGGACCAGGGCCTGTCTCTGACATGGACTCTGGTACATGCTCCTCCATCACTTCCCCTGGCAGGGCAGAAGAATGCCAGGCCACAGAGGAAGAGAATGTAAGTGGTCTTGAAGAGAAATAGTCTGTGGCCAGTTGGTAAGGGAGGAGGCTCTCCCTTTCTGAGGACTAGTGGAGGGGCATGAGGGGGAAGAGGAAGGAAGAGTGGGACCTGGAGGGGATAAGGGAAGGGGCTACAATCAAGATGTAAAGTGAATAAATTTTTTTAAAAAAGTATAGTGATGTATTTTTAGAAAATTGAAGAAGTATACATTTTGAGTATAAGGAAATAGTCTATGGTTAATAATTCTATATAAATATCTAGTGTTTGCATTCAACATATTTCAAGGTAAAATCATAATTTTAATAAGTGAATGGAAGTCAATTGTGATTCGGATCACAATTTTCCTCACCCATCTCTTTTATAAGAGGTTTACAGGGCATACTTTCCCCACTTCTGTAAAAAAATAAAAATAAAAATAAAAAAATTAAAAAATAAAATAAAATCTGTATTTGCTTTTATGCTTTTTTTAACTGATTTTTTAATTACAAAAGTAATGTCCACACACATTTTATATTACCTTTTAAACTTTTAAATGTGTGTGTGTACGCCTGCATACACACACATGAATGTGGGTGCTAGAGAAGGCCAGAAGGGAGGGTTGGATCCCCTGGAGCTGGAACTACATACGATTGTGGACCGACCCACGTGGGTGCTGGGGACTGAACTCCAGTCCTCTACAAGATCAGTACACACTTTTAACCACTGAGCTCTTTCTCTGGCCCCTTCTATAGGTTTTATTAGACTTTTAAAATAGAGAGCTCCATTTTATTTTAAACATTTTTTTCATTTAACTTTCTTCTGGATTATTTTGCTGTTCTTTTTCTAATGTTCTGAAATAAATATTTAGATCATTAATTTTCAACCCTTACTTTTTCTAATATGTCCAGTTCAAGTCTGACATGTTTCTGTTTAGTACTGTATTATTGATCCCATAAGTTTGTCAAGACAGTATTTTCATTACATTTCAGTACAAATTACTTGCATAATTCCATTAGAAAATTCCCTTTGGCTTGTGGGTTATTCAGCAATCTGTCCCTTTACTTCCAAATGAATTGGCATTTTCAAGTTACCCTTCTGTAGCTGGGTTAAACGTCATTGCATTCTTACCAGAAAACACAGGCCACGTGGTTTCAGTCCTTTGCGGTCTGTGGACATATGCTTTGTGGATTACATCTGGTCAGCTTTATTAACTATTCCACCTCCCTCCTTCTTTCCCCTTCTATCTTTTCTTCCCCTTCTTTTTCTTTCTTTTCAGTTTTCCTCTCTCTCTACCTTCTCCAATTCCTAAAAAAAAAAAAAATGCTAGTAAAACTTTGGAACTGGGTGCTGGTGTGCTTGGTCAGAAGACAAGAACACCAGCTGCTTTTTCAGAGGACTCGGGTTTGATGCTCAGCGCCTACTGGCTGATAACAACTGTCCGTAACTGCAGTTCCTGTCTCCAAACCCTCTTCTGCCCTCTAAGGACACTACACACATGTGGGGCACAGACATACATGTAGGCAGAACATTCATGCACATAAAATTAAAACAAATCTTTAAAAAAATAGTAATAATATTGAAGAAACTATGCATGCACACATGGACACATGCGCACACACACACATCACATACACTTACGGACACACGCGCACCTTTGGAACTGCAGGTATGAAGACTGTTTTCATACTGAGACGGCCAGGGGATAGAGACGCTAACACTGTAAGAGGGGCTGGGTATCACAGCGACGGGCACTCCCGTGTGGACTCTAATATGCTGGCCTAGCAGATCGTGTGGCCACTGTGTCAGCCTGACGGAGGACCTTGGTTTATTACGGTATATTCGGATAACTTCCGACAGTCCGAGTGGAGCGGGCCTACGCCACGAGTCAATAACGCCTTTACTCATCAACTTCTTTTTCCTGGTTTTTATTTTATTTTAAATGTCATGTTGCCTCTCTGAGTCCTTCCGCTTGCTTTTGCTTCAACTTAGGAATTTTTCTAGGTCCTTGAAGGGAACCTCTTTCATTACTTTCTCATCTTTTATTAAGCACACTAAAGACACATACATCATTTCCTCTCAGTGCAGTTTCGGTCATATCCCAGGGGTTCAAACACACAGAGTTCTACCTGTTAAGTGCACTCACATACTCAGTATTTCAGCTTGAATTTCTTCCTCAATTCAAAAGAGTTGAAATACTTTTAAAGTGCAACACAAGGAGGAAAATGCTGTACCAGGAGCTACGTCATTAGCTTTTGTAGTCTAACCTAAAATGCAGTAAAAAAGAGAAAGTGCTTTCAACATGCTTTTTGAAAATGAGAATTAAAAAATGAAAACCATACAAGCAGGACAATCACTAATGAGAATCCGCAGTCCACACATGCACAGGCAACTTTAAAAATCTTTTTCCTATTTAACACTTACAGTCAATTGTTCTCTAAAAAACAAAAACCAAACCCAAACCCAAACCCAAACCCCAAAACAAATACATAAAAGTATCCTGAGGATTTTTGAACTATCTACCCTATCTTCACAACTGGAGCCTGCACACAGCTGTTCTCTCCTTGGGGCTTTCTGTTCCGGAACAGCGCAGCCTACTCTAGTCCCATTTCTTTGCTGTGACAGACACTGTCTCTGAAAGCAGCTTTGAGGAGGAAAGGATTTATTTGGCTTACTCATCCAGGTCACAATCTGAGTGATGTTTGGATATGACCTCAAAACAGGAACCTGGAAATAGGAACTGGGGAAGAACACTGCTGAACGGCTTATGCTCTCACTCGGCTAGCTTTCTATACAGCCCACTGGTTTGGTGCTACCTAAAGTGGGCGGACCCTCCCATGTCAATCATCAATCAAGATCCTCTCACAGACATGGCCACAGGCCAATCTGATCCAGGCAAAATTTCAACTGAGGGTCGATCTTCCCAGGTGAGTATGCTGTACCCAAACAACAATGAAGAACAGGACACACCCACTAGCTCCTAAAGGAACCGCTAATCATTTTACAGCTGTAAGTAGTAGGTCTTGCTCTACTAATGCGCACCCACTGTTTTGTCACAAACACATGCTGTGATGGACGTCCTTGGACACATACTTATCTTCATCTAAAATCATTGTAGAAAGACATTCTGCTCAGTGAAATAGCTAAGTCAAAAGTTATGGCTGCTACAAATGTGTCAGGCATTACTATGTTGATAGGAGAGGATCACAGCGTCAGCCATCATGGACAATAGCACGTAGAACCCACCTTGTTCTGGGTTTGTTAAGGTTGTGGCTCTCCTCACAACATTAGCTTATTATGTCTACAGTAGACATGTCTACAGCTTTGATTGGGGTCAAACGCACTCTTCTCGTTTTTATTTTTAAAGTTTAAAGTCTCCTTTACTTTATATTCTGGCAACTTCACTGTTTGGGTTTTGTTCTTTTTCCAGCTGCACCATGATAGGTTTAGCTACCGATCTCAACACTGCCTCTTCAGTGCTGGGCCTCCCTGGCGGGCCATGCCAAGCTAACTCTGTGCTCTCCCTGCCACCATGGCGCTGCATCCTCAGGCTCCTAACTCACTCGCTGTCTCATTGTTTTCCACCTGTAGAATGTTGATTGGAGACAATACTCAAATGAGGACGGTCTTCAAATACACAGAGATTTTGAGTTTAAGGTGTGTTCGGCCTCTGCAAAGCCTCTACATCCCACATAAGCTTGGATACTTTTTCCCAATATGACTTTGAGAATGAGATTCTGGGAACAAAGTTCAAAATGTAACTTCATCCAATACCTCTTCAGTATTTCTTGTTCCTGCCCCAAGTATTTTTGTGTATGTATGTGGGAACGTGCTGAACTGTGTCTAAGTGTGTGTATATGTGATGTGTGCTGTATGTGCATGCGTGTCCGTGTATATGTGTATATGTATGAGTGTGTATGTGTATGTGAGACGTGTAGGGTGTGTATATGTCTGTTTGTCTGTCTGTGTCTGTGTCTATGCCCGTGTGTGTAAAGGCCAGAGGTAGACATCTGGTTGTCTCCCTCAGCTGCTCTCTCACCCAACCTGGAGGTTGTCATTTAGACAGAGTTCTAAACCCCTGAGTTCTGGGGTCAGAGGTGCACAGCCACACCCATCTTTCACACAGTTGCTGGGGATCCAAACTCGGGCCCTCATGTTTGTTGGGCAACCACTTTACCCCGAGGATGCTTATCCTTCAGAACAGTTCTGGGGGTTGTCAATGAGATTCACATTAATCAATCAAATGCACTTCAGGAAAATTTGAATTCAGAACCAAACTCTCCAATGTTTATAATTCTTTGTTTTTTAAAAAATAGATCTCTTTCCTCATATTCTAAACCTAGCCCCCCACAGTCATTCCTCCCAAAAAGATCAAACAGGAAGCCTTTTCCAGTGTTCTCAAATGCACCTTGCCTCCACCTCCAATGCTCTTGCTGTACCCGACAAACCACATTTTAGTTATTTAATGCACACCACAGAACAGGACAGACTTTGTCTGTCATCTTTATTCATTCTAAGCTTGAGCAGGCCCAGCCACAAGAGAAGCCTGGGCACACTGTCTGCAGAATACACAAGAGGCAGAGTTAAGAGGCATTTCTAGCGCCACAGTAGTCTATAAAAGCTCCAGTGTTACCTGGCATCACCCAGAATTGAAATCATGCGGTACTGAGGCAACTCGGAAGATGCTACGTGTGCTAGGATCCCAAAGAGCCTTTCAGCCATTATCATGTCATTTTGGGTCACCTGAGAAGAAAGAGTAGAGACAGGTTAAAATGACATTGCTTCTCCTCTCGATATAACAAACACAGTTCCAAAAAATACAAGTCTAGACTAGGTATTTTCTTTTAGCCCAGGAAGGGACACGTCCCCAGACTGTGGAAGAATCTGCACCGAGCCTTCGTTTTCCTTGGAGTCTAATCACAGAGATGCTGCTCGGCCGTGACTCCTGGAGGCTGACCCAGGCTCAGGAGTTAGCTCTGATCCTCACGTCAGGTTGCCCGAAGACTGTGCTTGAGGCACCTTGAATTCATAAAGGATGGTTTTTCTTTTTGATGGTGTGTGTGTGTGTGTGTGTGTGTGTGTGTGTATGGCATATACGCATGCATGCATGTGTTTTTGCAGGTGTGTGTCTGTGTTTGTATCATGTGCAGCACGCATGCATTTGTGTACGTATGTTTGCTGGTATGCAGGAATGTGTGCATGCAGTTGAGTGTGTATGTGTGTGTATGGTTGTTGGGGGGCACTTGTGGAGGCCCAGGGCCGATGTCAGCGATCTTCCATATTACATTTTGAAGCAGGGTCCTGCTCAATCCCGGAGCTCACTGACACATGCCGTCTCGCTGGCCACCTCACTCCAGGTAGCGCACCTATTCCTTCCAAGACTGGAGTTACAGGTGGATTCCGAGGAGCCGACCGCCAATCTTCTCACTTGTTTAGCGGCATTTAAACAGCTGAAGCGTTCCCCGTTCCCTTAAAGGCTATTTTTAAAGGAATTCTAGAGCTTCTTAACATAAGATGGCTTAACATAGGGAAAATGTCAATGGGGAGATTCATCTTCATAAGGAGTGGTCATGACTTGGTCCTGTAGTGACAACTTTGTCCCTTGCTTGAGAGATGGGATGCTTAGTATACAAGCAAAGACATCCCTGTGCATCCGAAATCCATAGCAACCTTTTCCCTATAGAGAACAGCACGTCCTAAGTATGTGCTCTGAAGGCTCATCCCTGGATAATCAGGAAAGTGCTGAGGCGGGAGTGCCGACACACATATGTCACCCTAGCACTTGGGAGCTGGAGCAGGAATATGTCGGCTCACAGCCAGCCTTGGGCCACACAGCGTGACCCTGTCCCCAACCAACCAACCAGCTAAAGGAAGACTTGGATTAATATCTGCTTCTATTTACTATAAAACAGGGCTAAAATAACACTTGATTTTGATATTGTATCCCTTCTAGGACTTCCCCTGTTTTGCTTTCTTGAGCCATGGTGTCACTTTGTAGCTCTGGCAGGCCTGGAACTCAGGCACTGCCCAGGCTGACCCTGCACCGCCTCTGCCCCTGAGCTGGGATTGGAGGTGTGCACCTCCTCTGCCCCTTCTAGTAAACTTGACAGTTACAAATGCTCAATAGACTGTTGAGAAAAACTGCTGTTTGAGTTTTTAATTCTATTACATTGATACTGGAGAAATGGATTAAAAAATAATAATGGATTAAAAAATAAAGGTAGGGTGAGCTACCTTTTTAATGCAGTTAGTTTATCTACATAGTAGAATTTGATTCCCCAGCCAAGACCCGAACTATCCCCTCAGGAACAGTGGCACCAGCTGGTCAGGGGAGGCTGCTGACACCTAGTGCGCAGAGCCAGCGGCGCTGCCGACTGCTCTATATGCACCTGAGAACCGCTGCAGCGGCCATCTGCCCCAGCGGCAGCAGAGCAGAAGCTAAGAAAGCCCTGACCTTTGTGCAAGCCCTTCTGGAGTTTTAAGAAGCAGGGGGCTTTCATGCATTCGTTTGTCTGGAGGGGTGCATATGTGTGTTATGGCATATGTGCACGTGTGTGTGTGCGCGTGTAGGAATGCTCACCAATGCACGCGCTTACGGAGGACAGAGGCCGCTGTCAAGTGTCTCCCGTGGCACTCTCTACCTGCTGCCTATGGGGCGGTCCTCCTTTGACCGGAGTCTTGCAGACACAGTAGACAGGCTGGCGAGCCCCCGGAAGTACCTTTCTCTATCTACCCAGCTCTAGGGTCACACATATGTGCTGCCAGGCCTAGCTTTTACATGCGTGTGGAAGATCTACCCTGGTTCTCACATTTGTACAGCAGGCATTTTTCAGACGGAGCCATTTCTGCAGTGCCCCATACCCTTGGGCCCCAGGAGACAGGGTCTCACAGCCAACCTTCTGTCTCAGCCCTCTGGTGTTGGAAAAGCAAATATGTGTGTTTGTGAGAATATATTACAGAAGTGTCTTCTGAGGAAAACCCCGGAGTTCACACGTGTAATTAATTCACACCATATATACATCAGTCGTGTAGAGCTCTATCGTGGACCTTCAAGGTTAGGGCTGCTGCTCCTCAAAGCCTTCCTTTAGCTGACAGCTAAGTTGCTGATCCAACACAGTCACCTAGTGGCCAGTACAGGACATTGCTCCATCTTCTTGGCGCTCACCACTCAGTTCTACCTCTAGTGATATCACTATGTTACAGAAAGGGAAGTATAAACATAGCGTATGATATAAAATGACAAGGCCATGTGTGAAGGCATATCTTTCAGGTATTTTAATAAAATGTCGAATATCCCTGACACTGGCATTTTCTAAAAGTTAAATTAAAGTGTTGCATTGGTTCTGTTAATTCTCTGTACAATATGCTTTCTTATTTCAGCAGTTCTCTTAGTGCAATCCCATATCTGAGGGAATTACAGCTAATCACACACCCTATTAGGCCAAAGAGGAAGAATCCTTCTCTCAGTCCAAAGAACCTTTGTATTTCTAGTTCAGAATTACTGTGAAACCCTCCATTGATTACTAGGCCTTACCAGAGCTACGAGCTCTGTCTGATGCAGAACTGAAGGGCATGTAAGACTGAATACAGACTCCTGAGAACTAGATGGGAAACTTTATCCCAAGGTTTAGACTTCCCTAGCACTTTAACTGAAGGCTGACACTACAGTCTTGGGCCTACCATGGTTGCGGCATAGTATGGCCACTTTTGACCCTGACCCGCAGATCTCCAGGCTACCAACGCCATGTTGGATTTTTGTGATTTGCACCTAGAGATAGCTGTGGTGTTCGAGTCATAAAGCAATATTACCCAGCAAAGCTGACTACATAGTTAACCCTCTACTAGGGGAGCCTTCTGAACTTCAAGAGGCACCACAGAGACTAACATCAGTTTAAAGAAGCTTCCTGTTGCAAGACTATTTAGCTTCAATCGTGATAAAAGCATAGTTTCCACTTTCCCCAAGTTAATATTTAAAGAGAACACAGTCTTTGAGTAGCTAGGAGATTAGCATTATGACAAATTCAGGAAAAACTCCATCTAAAAATAGCTTTCCCGTAATAATGTTCCAGTTCTTCGGCTCGGATCTGCGTTATTCCACATCATGCCACAGCAGCCGTGGCCGGTTATGGATGGAGCAGTGCAGAGTGTGCTTAGGCTTGTTCTCGCCACGTTGTTCCTTCCCTCCCTAGGGGCGGACATGGGTGTGACTGCCCATGTTCTCGTGTGCCACAGTCTGCAGAGCACTTTAGAAAGGTTGCCTTACCTGCAGAAGTCAGAGTTTCTTAATGTCATTTTTAAAAAAGTTTCTCTTCTCTGAATGCTTAAAAACAACACGTAGCTACTATTCACCAGGAAAAAATCTGCTTCCTGCCTCACACCCTGTCCACACAGACGTGCGTGTGTATGTTTGTGGGGAATCGGTGTGTGTGGACGTGCACAGGCATGGCCTGTATATGGTTTTTTCTCTTTCTAATATTTTGAATGCTGAGATTTTATTTTTAAGAAACAGTGTTTCTGCTCCCCTTACCTGGAGACTGAGCTGCCCATGGGCTATATCTGAGCAGGAGGTCTAGGTCTTCTTCATGCATTGTCCTTGGTTGGTGCATCAGTCTCTGCAGGACCCCTGGGCTAAGAATTTTTAGTTTTGTGGGCCTCCTTGTGGGGCTCCTATCTCCTCCATATCCTTCTCACCCCCTCTTCTTCCATAACATGCCCTGTGCTCTGCCCAGCATGGCTTCAATCGAGCCCCTGCTGGGTGGAGCTGGGCTGCCTCTGTCATCAACTTGGTTGACTGCTCTTCGATCACTTGACCCTGGAGATGCGGCCTTGCCAGGCCACAGAATAGGAAGAGGATCCAGGCAGTCCTGGTGAGACTTGACAAGCTATGGGCGGACGGCAGAGTTGAAGAACTCCCCTTTCAGTGGACTACGGGAAGGGAATAGGAAAGGAGGTGGGAGGGAGGATGGGACTAGGAGGAGTTGAGGGAGGGGACTTCAATAGGGATAGATAATGAATAAATTGTGAAAAAATAAAATTGAAAAAAGAAACAGTGTTTCCTAGCAGTTTTAACAGTTAGATCCCCACATGAGTGCTATCAGGGGCTCCATCAAGTGGGAGGTCATTCTGCAGTCTGCTTTGCTTTTTCTTACCTCTGTTCCGTTTATTTTCTGCATGCCGAAGTGGCTGAGCCTAAATAACACGTAGTACTTCCAGAGTGTGAAGCTGACCACTGGGTTCCCCTGAGGGTCAATTGTCAGCTGGTCAACCCGGCGGAGCTGCGCGAGGGCGTTGAACTGCTGCAGCATCACAAGGTTGGTCTCCTTGAACTTCAGGTGCTGCAACGACAAACAGCAGGCAAGGTCTCCGCGCTGGCTCGGCTGCCTCACACGCGGACGCTAACCACGGCCCTTTCCCGCGGAACCCTGTAAGCTTCAATGTGCTCAATTCATCAGTCATTGATGGCAGCTCAAGACTCAGGAGTTTTGGGTGATTCCTTCTGCAAAGGACATCCTTATCTATCAGCAACCACGATTCCTTAACACTATGTGATAATTCAGAATCTTCCAAGCTTTGCAGATTCTACACATTTTATACTGACATGACTGTGTAAAGGAAAGACTGGAACATTCCAGAAATCTCTAAGCACAGGACTCACCCTGGTCCTGAAAACCAGCCTTGCCATTAATACTGCATCTTTCTGAAAACCATGCTGGTTACTCAAACTGGCCAAGGAGAACCAAACTACTAAAAGAGAGATGCTAAAGCAAAATGGTCTCTTTGCGAATTTGCATGCTCTTCCTAAATACCTGCCTCCACTGCTACTTATCATCTTTCGGGTTGATGAAGAAAGACATGTACCATAGAAGGGTAAATAGAGAAGCACTGGGAAGAGCTCACGAGGAAAGTCAGTGTAAAGCCACTGTCCGCCAGTGCCTATCAGTCACTCGTGCCGGCTGCAAGATCAGGGAGGCTGCCCCGCGCTCAGTACCCACAGTGTTCTCAGTGCCACGGGGGGACTGCTGCCAGGCCATGTAACCAACAGACACATCTCATCCACACCAGTGTCAAGGCCTGAATACATGCTACAGGGCTGTGTGGCCTTCTTTATAGATTGAGATTGATAATGTGCATTAAATTCCTTTGGTCTTTCTGCTCCTGGGACAGCTCACTCAGGATGATCTTTTCCAGGTCCCACCATTTATCTGCAAATTTCATGATTTCCTTGTTTTTTTTTTTTTTTATTGCTGAGTAATATTCCATTGTGTAGATGTACCACAATTTCTGTATCCATTCCTCAGTTGAGGGGTATCTGGGTTGTTGCCAGGTTCTGGCTATTACAAATAAAGCTGCTACCAACATGGTTGAACTAATGTCCTTCTTATGTACCTGAGCCTCTTTTGGGTATATGCCTAGGAGTGGTATAGCTGGATCTTACCATGAAATTTGCAGGTAAATGGTGGGAAATGGAAAAGATCATCCTGAGTAAGCTATCCCAGAAGTAGAAAGACACACACGGTATATACTCATTCATATAGACATATAATATACGATAAACCTACTAAAATCTGAACACCTAAAGAAACTAATCAAGAGGGAGGACTCTTGCTAAAATGTTCAATTCTTCTCCAGAAAGGCAAAGAGGAAGGACATCAGAAGAAGGAGAAAAAAGAGAACAAGTCAGGAGCCTGCCACAGAGGACCTCTGAAAGGCTCTGCCCTGCAGACTTTCAAAGCAGATGCTGAGATTTATGGCCAACCTTTGGGCAGAGTGCAGGGAATCTTATAAAAGAAGTGGGAAACAGTAAGATCTGGAGAGGACAGGAACTCCACAAGGAGAACAACAGAGCTAAAAAATTTGAGGGGTCTTTCCTGAGACTGATACTCCAACTAAGGACCATGCATGGAGATAACCTAGGACTCCTGCACAGATGTAGCCCATGGCAGGTGAGTGTCCAAGTGGGTTCCATAGTAATAGGAACAGGGACTGTCTCTGACATGAACTGATTGGCCTGCTCTTTAATCACCACCCCCCAAGGGGGGAGCAGTGTTACCAGGCCACAGAAGAAGACAATGCAGCCACTCCTGATGAGATCTGATAGAATAAGATCAGAAGGAAGGAAAAGAAGACCTCCCCTATCAGTGGACTTGGGGAGGGGCATGCGTGCAGAGAGGTGAGGAAAGAAGGGATTGGGACGGGAGGAGAGAGGGAACCACAGGGAGGATATAAAGTGAATAAAGTGTAATTAATAAAGAATTTTAAAAAAAGAAAGTAAAAAAAAGAAATAATTGGGTTTTTATACGGCTTTCCCATTTATCTTTAGTTTTGCTTAACACACTAACTAATCCCACTCCTCTTCATCCACTGTCCTCATTCTTAATCTTTTTAATGCCAACATCCCAATCTTCTTTAATTTCACATGCATTATACTATCTATCCTATTTGATATTCAGTTGTGTCTTGTTACATTTGTTGCTGTGATAAGACACAATGACCAAGGTCACTTATGAAAAAATAAAACATTTAAATTGCAAAAAAATTCCTTTGGTCTTTTCTATTTCATAAAGGACTGTTTTTAGAGATATAATTTCTAATATTAACACAAACCTGCAAGGCCATTTATGGAACTAATTTAAATTCCAGCACCAGAAAATCAACACAAAGTAAACTGCAGAAACCAAAGCTGAAGTAGGCTTTGGCTTGAACACACATGAAGAACAATTCAAATATACTTCCAAAGGAAAGTGCTTACCAGAGAATTTGGAAACTTCATCTTCAGTTTGGGAAGCACTTGGACAATTTCATCAAACTCGATGAATGTGAATGAGACGGTGGTGACCATGCCGGCTGTTTGGACACTCCAGTTCCGATCCAGGCATTCCAGTGCCCCTGAGCCATACAGCGAGAGAGTGTCCCCCTCTACCTCCACCAAGTGTGTGTCTGTGACTGACAAGCCTTGTAACCCGCTGCTGAGCCCCGGATCTAGGGACCTGCAAAAGTCTTTGTGTAAGTCTCGAGCACGCACAGGCTAGGACGGCGTGTTGAAGTGTTCTACAGCTTTATGCTCATCACTTCCCTTTCCATAATTAACCCAGAGCATCCTACATTGATTTTTATTCGATTTAAGAAAGTAGATTGCAAAGTAACAGGCTTATGATGTCCATTTCCTAAACACTGTTGCTGAGCCTCCGTCCCTGCCTCTTCCCAGCCTCACCTCGCTCCTGCTGCTCCCCTTCCTCCCTCAGAGACTCCCTCTTGCCTTCATGTCACATGTGTACTCAGACGAAATTATTAGATTATCTGAAAGGTTAACATCCAATCATGTATCTTAGCTGAATATCGGAAAATTTATAGAAACCACCTCCAAGTCCAAATTCCTCATCATATTAATGAAAGATAATTTCATATACTTTAAATATGTCATTGAGATATTTATATATCGATATAAATACATTTTCCTGATTTATAAAGCTATCTAGCTAGAAAAATACATTTAACAATATATTTCCATAGAATCATAAAATATTATTTATAAAATACAATATAAAATGTTTGTAAAATACATAACTTTAAACTAGTTTCTATCTTAGTTACCAAGTTAAGTGAACAATGCTGACTCTACTTTTGAATGGTCAGATGCCTTAAAAACCGTAAGAGTATTGTTCAGTTGTAATGAATACAAATCAACCAGGTCTTCCTGCCTAAACTGAAACAAGAGTGATAAAAACCAATCATGTTATGCATGGTGTCGAACTGGATACTCTACTGCTAGGCCGGTTCTGTTGTTCCCAGGTAGGAGCCGTGCTGCCTATGAGACCCAACCTGAATGGCAAGCAGAGAGCCAACGAAGCTCCTTGACCCAATTCAGAATCTCTGCTTTTTAAACAGAAGTATGACATATCGTTCTGCTCCAGCTCAAAACCTGGGCAGCACTTGCCTCTCGCTCTGTGTCTTCCCACTGTTGCTCCCAGTACAGCTAGCTGGGACTTGCACACTCGTCCAGGGCTTCATGACTCAGACGAATTACAATTATATGTTGGCAATTTTGTTTCCTCTCCTACATAGTGAGCTCATAAAGCTAGAAGACCATATGTTTTCACATCTGGAGACTCTCAGGTCCCCTAATGGGCTTTCACAGTGTACAAATTAAGAAGGATCTTCAGTGAGTTCAAATGCTGATGTCGAATGGTAAGTCTGACCAACTATTATCCCATTGGCTTATTGGATTTATCCCATAGGTGCCAGTGAACTGTTACACATCTGTCTATTCATTAACAAGTTAGCTAACGGCATTCGTGTACTCAAAGTGAACGTGCAGCTAAGAAACTATACACAGTTATTTCACACCCTAACTTCTATCAGAGGCTTACGACGGCACTGATCCAACACCTACAAGTAGGGCAGATGACCTTAGATGGTCTCAGAAGGCCAAAGCCGATCACAGCACAGAACTCGAACTATGTCCATCTACTGTGCTTTGAAAAACAGAGTGAGGCAGGCAGAGCAGCACGGTTGCTGTTGACGGGGTAGAGGCCAGCAGTCAGCATTCGCTGCAACACTGCTCACTGACCGCGGTTCCTCCCAAGCGTCTGCTGAGTGTACCACAGCAGTATCTAGCAATGTCCAGCTCAGTAAATATTGCTTGGATTAATAAACTGAGGAGACTTTGGGGGCAATCTGTTAAATCTTTAAAGAATATTCCAACCATAGCTATGGTTTGGGCAAACAGGCAGAATGAGTGACATGGACACATGAGCAGAGTTCACAAGGCTGGCCACGTGACACAGACATGCAGTGAAGGACAGTGAAAGGAAATAATGCCAATTGATGTGGGATGCCTTTTAGCCACCACAGATGGGAAACATTTAGTTTTAATGCCAACATAGTAGAGAATTAGCTAAATAAAATGACAGGTAAGCCCACTGGGCAGCCATCTTGTTCCATATCAGATATTTAGGAGTGGCTTACTTTTTTTCTGCTCTGTGATTAAAAGATTAACATAAATTGTAAAGTAAAAAGTATTATCATGAGGTGACTATATTATGCACATTTTTGGAAAGCAAACTGCTGGGAAAAGGAGCAAAAAAGTAAATAAGCCTACAGGTAGGATGCCATAACACTATCAGAAAGCAGAGCCAAAAGGAGTCCCAGCTGCTGCAGACCTCATACAATGAGACAAATGGGTGCTGGGCTGTAGAGATCAGAAACAGAAGAGCTGCTACCCAGGTCATGTGAGGATGAGCCAGCTCATGAAGAGGCTGCTGTGGTTAGCCTCAAACTCGGGCCACTGCTTACTAATTTGCTTCTCTAACAGCACGTTTGGTTTCCATAAAAATGACGCAGAAAGCTTGTTAAACAATGTTTATATGTTGGAGAGTATCCTTCCTGGTTTCCTTGCGTGAGTAGTCAACATGTTCTTATCTTTAGAGACATGCACATATTAGTTCATTTATTCACTCAGCAAACATCTCCTGAAAGCTGCTATGTGCAAAGCTCAGAGCTAAGTCTGCTGGCACAGGTGATCAACTTATGTATTGATAAGGACAGTTAGAAGAGCCTGCGCAAGTGTGCACACAGACACATACGTATATCAAGACTATTTCTTGTAAAGCCAAAATATGGAGGTATAATTTCCCAAATACAGCTGCTGAAATCCTATCAAGCAAGCAACCTGAAATTTCTCAAACAGAAAGACCTCACTATGTCATTGAATTTATCAGTAGGGTTTTACAGAGAGCTTATAATGTTTGGGAGGTCCTATGCCAGGCATCAGAGATATAAAAAGAAAGCAAGGTATGCCTGCCCTCAAAGATTTTACAATCTAGATAGGGGAAGAAAAAGAAGATAGAATATACATTAAGTTTAATGTGCTTTTCACAGAACAAGCATTTCCACCTTCTGTCATGGGACAGAAGAAAGAATGACAAACTCCTTTACAAGGAGAAGCTGGGTCTCAGAAAGAAGCAGCCTTTGAACTGACTCCCTTGAGTAGCTGGTACACTGTTTTATCAGGAGCAGACAAGGGGCAAAAGGAACAAGGCAAGGACAGAAGCCTGACCATCTGTAGCAGCAGTGAAAGCTCAATTTCAGTGACTGGAACTGAAGACACACTAAGGTGGAGAGACAGGATTGTGGTGGCGGGGTGGGGGGTGGGAGGGAGCTGAAAAGTCAGATGTCAACCCACAGGAATGAAGAACAGAAGACAATTTTAAACTTGGGATTTAGTTCAGAAGTGCAGCACCATTATATCTAAGGCCCTGTGGAAAACAGGTTATTGTGTCATTCAAATGCTGCTTTGCGTACCTTTTCCCCTCCCCCACATCTGGTTGCAATCCTCTTTCTGAGAATTTCCTGTGTATATGTGTAAACACGGTTCCCCAATTGTCTCCTGAAATGCCAATAAAGCAGCTTACAGCTAATTGCTGAGCAGGGGAGAGAATAGGGATGGACTTCCTCCCAACCATGGGAGGAGGAGTTAGAGAAGAGAAAGTAGGGGATTCAGCCACAGGGAGATGTCCAGGAGGGACCAGGAGAGAGAGCTCAGCAAGAAAAGCCACAAAGTGCAAGAATCCCTGGGATGCTCGCTGGGAGTAAACCAATTAGCTAAGAGAGTTAAGAATAGAGTAAGAACTGCTCAGTTCTTGTGCTGTGAGGTTGTTATTAAACAAATATAAAAGAGTCTCAATTATTTGTGTAGTGGCTGGGTTAAGAGAGAAAATGAGAAACAAACAAACAAACACAGTTTTATAAAAATAACATTAACAGCCCTTGGTTCAAGTTCCAGCAATACACACAGATATGACAGAGAAATGGAGAGAGAGACAGAGACAGAGAATGAGACTACACAATTAAAACCTTTTGTAACTAACGCCAAAGAGACACACATGTGAATACTGGTGCTGGAATATATACACATATATACACACACAGAGCATGCATCCCCTGCCTTGAAGGACCCACTGCAGACCAGTTAGTGTATGCACTTTGTGAAGGATTTGGGAGGAAGAGGCTGGATGCAGGGGGATTAACGACTAATAAGATCAACACAATGTCAAGCAGCTCACACGAGGACATTACAGAAAGACATGGTCAAGTAGAGGAGAGCTGGCATGGCCAAGAAAACCAGACAGCCCTTGGCTAAGCCTCCAAATCTGCCACTCTCCCAAGAAGCTTCAGGATTTCTGAGTTCAAACTTCCTTTTCTATAAATGGTAATCCTAGAACTGTGTTTTCAAGGGTGCTAGGAAGACTAGAAATAATGAAGGCATAAAGCCTCATTTTGTGTTTAGCTCAATACATTTAGAGATCATTATCAGTGAACAAGGACACATCACCAGGTGTTTAAGAGAAGATAAAAGGGGGACTTCATGGTTAATTGGCCATGAAAAATGAGGGGGGAAGGAAGAATTAGGTATGAGTTCAGCCTCTAGTGGTCAGTGGATGCTGGGTCCAGCCAGCTTCGTCTCTGCATTTAGCCTGAGCCTGCACCGGAGGAAGGCAGTGAGTGCTCTCTTCTGTGGCCTCATACTTGATTTCACATCAAGCCAGGACCTCCCTACTTATGTTCTCCAATTCAAAATTAAGGGACGGCAGGAAATAGATGGCCAATGGGAATTATGTTCAAGCTCTTTAGTAGTTAATTTCAAGTCCAAATACCATGTATTCAACCAGTTCTCTCTAAGACAACTAGAAAATGTTCTGTGTCTTCCCAAGTACTGGAAGAACCTAAGGAAAGATGGGGGTTGACTTGATGCAGTAAAGTGTCAAATTTTTAAATGCTAGGCTGACTGTGAACCTCACCTCAGTGTACATGTCAACAAAAAAGGACACTACTCCAGAGGCCTGTATACATTTTTTTCTTCTTTTTTGCCTTTAGGCTTTGTTTAACAGGCAAGAACAGAAATACTTCAAGTCTTTCAGAAGACTCTTTTCCCGCCAAGTAAGTGGTACCGATTTCTGAAAAAACTCATTTTATGAATTTTCTATTACAACATCCATGTGTTTGGAAATTCATTTTATGCATTATATTTTATTATAGTAGTGTTGGCTAAAACACCAGCGTTCATAGACAGGAAATGACCAAAAATAAACCGGTTTCACTGCATGCATCCAATGTAAGCAAAGGAAACATTACACTAGTATTTTGCCATTCCTGCTGGGCTAAAGTCCTCTGCATCGTTCACTGTAGAGCTGTCCCACGTTCAGGGAACAGTAAAATCATTAATGGAATCCAGCAAAGTGTTAAAGAACGTCTTTCCTTTCTATATCCATGATGTTTTCATGGACACTTGTTCCTATGCATTTAGTTGTGTGCTCATAGGTTAAAGTTCATGGACACTGTACACAAGAATGACTTATCTTCTTTTCAACATAATGAAATACTAAGGACTATCAATGATGGTTTAAAGTGGAAAACTCCTGTAGTATTTAAACACAAATTGGAACACTAAAGAAAAGACTTTGTGGTTCTCTATACTAGCTTTCCACCTTTAGGAAGAAGGCTTACACAGGTAAGTGTTAGTTTATTTACAAAGAATGTAGGTATACAATCTCATAGGAATGAGCACACATGTCTAAGTCTTTTCCCTCCAAGGCGTCATTCAGAAATGTAAATGCAGAATGACTGAGCAGGGATAAAGTCCCATGACTAGATGTGGAGGGACTGCCGATTGCAGGGCATTCAGCAAGCTTCAGGAGGCTGGACAGTGACCACTGTCCAGTGCTGCCATGGGAACAAGCCACTGCCTTGACTCTGCAGTGGGAATAAGAATAAAGATGGCAGGCACTCCGCTAAGAGAGCTTTTAGAGGGACGAATAGTGTGGCAGTGAGAAGGGAGACGACACAGGAGTAGCTGAAGTTCCAAAGGACTGGGCTCGGGGACTGAACTCAGGGGAAGAGCTCTCACGGAGAACAGTGGTGCCTTGGGTTAGTTCCCAGCACTCAGTGAGGAAGAAAGAAAATCCCACCTATTCCCACTGTTAAGAAAACATTCAAATAGATCCCAACAGGGAAAGGAAAGAATGTTCTGAGTTCAACATTAGTGTAAGCGGTTGTTCTCCGAGTAGGAAATGAAAAATCAGTGCTAACCTCCATCACGCAAACCAATCTGCGGTGCAACGAAGACCAAACTCCAAACATTCATTAAAAAATGGGGACAAGATTTTTATCATTTCTTTCTTATGCAACATCTAAATGGGCAAGCCATAAAGGAAAAGGTAGACATTTTGGTGGCCTTGTCTACACATGGCATTTAAAGTCACTGACACGTACAAGCTTCCCGAGCTGAACAGTGGAGAATAAGAAAAAAATTACCAGAGCGAGAGCTGAGGGATTCTACCACTTAAGAAGCTGAAAGGATGAAAAGAAATACGGGAAATAGGGAGACTATGAGAACAAAATAAAATACCAGAGAAAAGTGACAGTCTCCTAATGACATGACAGAAGAATAAAGTACAAAGGACGGCACGAGTCTGGGTTAGCCATGGAGACCGCAGACTCAGTGCAGCTCTGTTGGGGACACGGAAGAGAAAGTTTTGACTACAGAACAGGTGCATTTCTTTCAGCCTTAAAAGCAGGGTGCAACATGAAATTCCAGATTAAGACAATTTGTGTAAAAGGAGAATGGCTCAGGTATAGAGCAAACCACAATGTGGGAAGGGTTGAGCAGATTTGGGGTATGATGGAAAGAGGGTGTCTGAATTTGATGTTGGGCTCTTCTGAGTGACCGGGAGAGCAGAAGGCATCAGAGTACATACCTCAACTCTGAAATCTAAAACCATATGTCCTATAGACACTTCAGCTCCACCAAATGGTTTTCAAGGTTTTAGTGCTATCTGCTGAGAAGCTTTAGGCTTGCAGAACAGATGTAAATGTTCTTGATCATGCAATGCAGTGGTGTAGACATTCTCACTGGAGTCCTAGAGGGAGGAAGCGTGTAGAGTAGAAGCTAGATGCTGACTCCAGTCTTCTACAAAGCAGCATGCACACTAGGAAGAGCAGTCAGTTCAGTGTTCTCGGAATTCTGACATCTAAAAGTAACCACAACCAGAGGAACACTCAACGAACAACAGCAAATGGTCTGCCGAATTTCAGGGAGACGGGCTGGCATCCTCCATCCCATTGATGTTCTTCCTGCCACAGCTTTTTGCTGGTCCTGAAGATGGCAGCCATATTCCTGGGGCAGGCTGCAGGCACCCAGGGGCCACAGGACAGACCACAGTCTCCAAAACTGTGGAGATGTTTTCCTGTGTCTGGCTTTGACCCTTCGGAGGTCTGCCCTTGTTGAGCTTGACTAGAAGCTTGCTGGGTCTAAGGCAGCCTTGGGGTGGCATTTGTCCAAAGCGTGTTCACTGCTGAGGATCGGAACTGGCTTCGTGTATGCTGGCAAGCGCTCTCCAACATCCCACACCCCAACCTCCTATCATTTACTTTTCTTTAATTCTGAGACAAAGACTCAATAAGTTGCCCAGGCTAGTCTTAAACTTACTCTAAAGCTCAGGCTGGCCTGGAACTTGTGACCCGCTGGCATCAGCATCCCACATAGTTGGGACTTTGGCACCAGGCCTGGCTGTCAGAAATATTTGAAGGTGCCTGTAGAAGCTGTCACACCGAGTATAGCAGAGCAGATGCAGCAAGCAACACACTCACCAAAAAGCCTAAGACAGAAAAGGCTGGAAAGGGAGGTGCACGGAGGAGGAAGGGAGCTGCCAGATGCTCCCTTGAGCCAAGGGGTCTAGAAGGCTGTACGCATGGACAAACGGCCTCACAGGCTGCACTTAGTCATCTACACTTCTCCCCTACAAAAATAACAAATGCGGGAGGGCTATTTCATCAGGGAAATGTTACAGCCAGATTTACACTTCTCTCTTGACTTTTTAATTTCACCTTTTACTTTTTTAAGAAAATTATTCCTCAAAACTAATTATGTGTGAAATGGCCTCCCATGTCCATTCTAAATTCAACTCTAGAAATGCCAGGAGCAAGACAGAGTGCCCTTGCATACCCTGTTTCCTCTGGAAATTCGGAGATGGTGCTTCCATCAATCTGACAGGGTTCCTGAGGAGGAGACGCAGCGTCCTTTCTGTCTTGAGTGCTGTCAATATTGGCTACCCGTTGCTGCAAGTCCCACTTCCGAGCGACATTGTTAATCGTTAACCTTTTCTTTTCCTATGGAAAGTTAATGGAACAACAGTTATCCAGTGCATATTTGGAAGAGAGAAGCACCAGCTTCCGATAATTTCCAAAGATGACTCCTTGCTGGTAAACAACCAACACATCTTCTAAAGCAAGCCCACAAGCCTGTGTTCACATCTCAGTAGCAATGTCAGCCTGCATGGAAAACTGTCTATAAGATGAGTACTTCTTGCTCCAAACAGAGGGTTATAGATTTATTTCACTAACTGAAACTCTGACTTGGCAAAGTTATATGCTTCTATCCTTAAACAAAGCAAGGAAAAAAAAAAAAAAAACTACCTTCATCTTTTACTCAAAGATAAGGGAGAGAGGAAAAAAAAAAGTAGGGATTTATTTGTGTTTCATATTTCATGGTATATCTTGCTTTAAAAATATTTATTATTTTTATTAATGTTCATGTGGGCAGGGGTTGTCCAGGGAGTCCAGAAGAGAGCATCAGTTCCCCTGGAACTGGACTTACAAGTGATTATGAACCACCAAACATGGTGCTGGGGACCAAACTCAGGTCCTCTGCAAGACAGCAAGAGTTTTTAGCTGCTGAGCATCTCTCCAGCCCTATGTATAAGGATGAAAGAAATATTATGTAGGCTACTAGAAGAAGCTCTATTAAGTAATTTTTTTTTTCTTGATAACTACTATTATTCTAGAAGAAAGGAAAGATGAGTTAATTACAGCAATGGATGCCTTAGGCAGTGGTTCTCAAGTTTAGGATGCCTCAACTAACCTGGGGGGTTTAAAATGGATGCTGAAGCTGGCTACTCTGACGGAGTACTTGGAGGGCTCAGGAGTCTGCCCCTCTAACAAGCTCCAGTACTGCTCACAGATGGAGAACACTGACTCGGGCCTTGAAAATCAGCTGTCTCATAGAAGCCCTGCTGAGAAAAGGAGATATAAGCCTGAAGAAGCCGTGTTCCATTAACATGTCTATTCTGTGGAGTTCCAGCTTAGAGTGACTGGGTGAAGGATTCCTATTCTGGTACTACCACCATTATCAAAAGGTAATACTTCATTATTTTATTTATTTCATGTGTGTGGGTGTTTTGTTTGCACCACATGAGTGCAGCGTCCATGGAGGCCAGAAGAGGGTGTCAGGTCCCCTGAAGTGGAGCTACAGACAGTTCTGAACTGCCATGTCAGGGCTGGGAACTGAACCAGTGTCCTCTGCAGGTGCAGCCATCTCTGCAGCTCTTATTTTTATTACATTTTGTAGTGTGTGTGTGTGCGTGTGTGCGTGTGTGCGTGTGTGTGCGTGTGTGTGTGTGTGTGTGTGTGTGTGTGTGTGTGTGTGATTTCTTGGTACTAAACTCAGGTTGTCAAGATTGATGGCAAAACCTTTACTTGCTGAGTTGCTTTGCTGGCCTCAAAAGTTAACATTTTAAATTGCTAGATGTCAGTTAGATCGGAATGCTGAAAACAGAGCATTTTTCTCTTTCACTCAAAATTTGCCCAAGAAAGACCCCTTCCCAGGAGCCAAAGAAAGGGAATTATAGGGTTAGGAGTCTTCTTTCCCACTGCCTCAGCCCCTGTATAAATGACAGCAAGCTCTTCTTTCTTTTTTTTTTTAGAAGTACATAAGACATATATAGTCATAGCCAAACTATATATGGGTTTCATAAATGTTTTTTTTAATTTTATTTTTTTCTTATCAGTTACATTTTATTAACTCTGTATCCCAGCTGTATCCCGCTCCCTCATTCCCTCCCAATCCCACCCTCCCTCCCTCATCTCCACCCTGCCCCTTTCCAAGTCCACTGATGGGGGGACCTCCTCCCCATTCATCTGATCCTGTTTTATCAGGTATCTTCAGGACTGGCTGCAAAGTAACCTTTTCAAAACTCTATATCTAGGTTTAGAAATTTTCTAGGCCCAAGTTTTTGCTCTGCAGTTTATTCTTTCAAATTTCTGTGCAGTTTAGAGCACTGTAAATCCTCTGCGTGTATATCTGAAATGACTGACATTTTGTGTGTACCATTCATTCTTGCACACAGCAATTAGAATCCTGCTATTCTACTGTAAAACACTATTTCCCTAATCTAGAATTAAAAACAAAATTAAACAAAACTTACTGTATGGACTTCAATTTCAGTTATTTGCTGATGGCTATGGCAACCCAAGCCCTAATCTAAACAATGTAGTTATTTCTACCTAGTAGCAAGACCATTGGCTCCAAACATTTGGCTTCTTAGCTGGCAGGAAAAAAATCACAATGAGACAGATATAACTGTTTAAAAAGTCACAGTATATCTTCCCACTGCTGGGTATATTAATAAGTGTGTGAAAGATGTTCTCTGAAAACGCAAACTTTCTCATGCCCAAAGTGGAGCCTCCTTTCCTTAGGCTGTTAAAAGCTGCTTGGTACTAGGCAGCCTGAATAGGTGATTTTGTTGGAGTCTAGATAAGGAAAAGAGTACATTAAGTCATGAGTCTATTCTGAGGTCACGTGGGCATCCCTGGTTGGCAGGGAGCACAGGAGGGCTCAAGATGCCTATGGAGCAAGAAAAAAAGGAGCTGGATCATGGCGCTCTGCAAGACCAAAAGGGTACCTGAGAGAGCTCTGACAGGCCAGCTGTGCCTGTAATCACTTATGACGCTGCAAGTTGCAGGTGTGTGCAGAAGTGGTAAATACGTGGGGGCAAAGTTCATTCTCTCCATTTGAGTCTATTCTTCACTTTCCAGGCAGGATCTCGTCACTGTCTGTCACAGCGATCACTTCACTTCATCTCAAAGGTGGAATGGGAAAGGAATACGGATGCTGCTGAAGAGACAGGCCTCGCACACCTGGGCTCCTTCGACCTGGCTTCCCTCACCTCCACGGTCAGTACGTGCCGCTGCGGGGCACAGCTTTAGAGGTGTGGAAGCTCTGTTCTGAAGCTTCCCCACTCAAGGGCCAGATCTGGGCCTGCTGATACCAACACTTCTCTTACCAAAACCAAAAAGCTAAACAATCTTCATAATCAATCAGAGCTCCAAGACTTCACCAATCTGCTGTGTTCTAAAGCTTTATTACATTTTGTAGTGTGTGTGTGCGTGTGCGTGTATGTGTGTACGTGTGTGTGTGTGTGTGTGTGTGTGTGTGTGTGTGTGTGTGTGTGATTTCTTGGTACTAAACTCAGGTTGTCAAGATTGATGGCAAAACCTTTACTTGCTGAGTTGCCTTGCTGGCCTCAAAAGTTAACATTTTAAATTGCTAGATGTCAGTTAGATCGGAATGCTGAAAACAGAGCATTTTATCAGGTATCTTCAGGACTGGCTGCAAAGTAACCTTTTCAAAACTCTATTTCTAGGTTTAGAAATTTTGAAAATTTCTGAAAATTGCCACTAAAGCTTTCCAAATACTCCTTGAATGTTCACTAAAATTTGTGGCATATTTCCCCAAATACTTACAGAAAAAATCAGCTGAATCAGGGAGTGGGGGCTAATACTGAGGTAGACTTTCAGTTGGACAGGAAGGACAGCCTAGTGCCAGGCTCTCCTCACACTGGCAGGCTGCCAGACTTCTAGCTAACTCATCAACAATTTCCATGTTTGTCCTTCTTGCCATGCTCTGGGTCTATCACACAGGAGGGCTCCACAGTCTTCACTGTGAATGTACATGCATGATTGGGATCATGCAGTAACTCACTCACATAGGGCTGGACAGCAGCAACAGTGTGACAGGGAAGGCCACTCCCCTGCATGAGCAACCTGGAAAGGTTTGGCCACAGTGTGACCTGTCACTGGCTAATCTTGCTCCTATGCATTTTTAAATATACCACTGCAGCTACATTTTTATAGACAAAATATTCAAAATGTATTTTTGATCAACTCTTAGGGGCAGTCCAACATAAGAAAATTAAAATCCTGTTAGGTAATGAGTAAAGAGGAGTCTGTCAGGAGAGGGCTTAGGCCCACTGAATAATGGGATAGGAGATAACCACAAGAGCTGGGGAGGAGTCTGGAGGTGAGAGGTAACTTCAGGGAACAATCATGGACAGTCAGCACATTAGCAGGAGTGACTTTCAGATCTGTAGTCTTGATATGCAAGGTGTGGGGACAGGTTTGGATGCTAATTTAGGAAGCTTTTTTTTTTTTTTTTTTTTGAGACAGGGTTTCTTTGTGTAGCCTTGGTTATCCTAGAGCTCACTGTGTAGACTGCTGGCCTCAAACTCACAGAGCTCTTCCTGCTTCTGCCTCCCAAGTACTGGGATTACAGGCGTGCACCACCATAGAAACTGTTCATAGTGTAGAACAGTTCTGCCAAAAGTATGCCCTTGTGCAGCCAGGACCCCTACCAAGCCACAGAACACAGCCGCCACTTTGGGGAACTAAGGACACATGGCTGTGTCTCTTCTGGTCACTTTGAATTTTTCATGTCACTTACCTAAGGGTGGAAAGTACTCTCAGGATGACAGCTAATTTAGAACCCAGTGTGACACAGCTAAGAGCTAGCCATTCTAACTTGTTTTTATCAAACTTTGTGATGATAACATCAAGTTTTTTAAGAGAAGTCACTATTCAGGAAAGTTGGTATCAAATATGCTTAGATTGCCTAGAACTACTTTAAAACAAATTTGCATTTCTGAATTCCTCAAGATTTCCAGCATTTCTGTATCAAGAGAACTAATGGAGAAATATTTTGGGTTTTAAAAGCTGCTATTAGAAACTCGAAGCAGAGCCTGTGAACGCATGTCTGTAAGGGCGGTGGTCAACCATGGAGCTTTCTAAAGTGGCGCACGGATGCCAGGTGATGCACAAAAGCCTCCCTAGCAGGAGAAATGCCAATTCCCTTTATGTGGCCACCACACCCTTCTTCACAGTCCACCCTGCACATCGTGCATTAGGCAGCACTTCTGCGCTTCCTAAGCTCTACCCCCCAGAAGCCTCAGGAGTGTCTGCTACAAACACACTGAGTTTTGAAAGCCATGCTCCTGGCCAGTGTGGGTGTTTCTGTGCACAGTGGAGGCCACACGGAGGGCAGTACCTTCAGCAAGGACTGCTTGTGACTCTCCCTCTTCTTCTCCTCCTCTTTTTTCGCTACAACAGATGCCACACGTCTTTCTTCTTCCTAGGGAAAAGGAAAATGTTTTTTAGAGAAAGCATCCTGAGGTGTTCGCCATATTGCAGTGAGGTGTCGGCCCCATTGCAGTGAGGTGTTGGCCCCATTGCAGGAGATGAGTATCCAGGATGCAAAATTCAGAAAAGCATGGATATGAGAAAAGAGTAGCCCATAATACAAATCACTACCGACAGCAAATTATCTGAGTAAACAGGACAAAGAACTGTTTCTCCATCATGAAAGAAGAGAATAAGAAAAGCCCAAGACTCATGGTGCTCGTTCATCTACATGTTTATCTATTTACCACTCCAGACGCCCACAGTGTCACTAAATGGTCAATGGAAATGGCAGAGTGAGAAGCTGACATTCAAAGAGTAAGTCATGAGGAAATTGAATGAACTGAGCTGCAGAATCCACAATAAATGAGGAGAGTTTGGGGGATGGGAAGCAAGTAGGGGTTTGGTATGTTTGTAAGAACAGATATAACTGGCATTTGCTACTTTGTGGGTTCCTTTCTCACTTCTACTCTTCCCCGCCCCTTTATTTCTTCCCTTTCAATCCCCTAACACTAGATAGAGGGGAGAGGGGGCAAAGTTATCCTTAGACTACTTCCTGCTGATTAGAGGCATCAAGTTCCTTGGAGCAAGTTTTATCTTCACCACCAGGATATCTAATTTCTTCTCTTCTCATTTTGTCTCCTTGACAAACAGCAACCAACCACCAACAGCCAATAAAACAACCCCGCCTCTCTGGACCCTAGCATTTATATGTGCTCTGAAAAGTGCCCAGAATTCCAAATGTCACACACGTGCAGAAACTATCTGCAGCTGCCAAAACCATGCCCCTGCTAGAGCACGAGGCAAATCATAGCTGCTGTGAGGAAGCCCTATATCTCCACACCTGGGATTAAAACAAAAACATATTCCCATTAATATTTCTGTGTTTTTTAAAAGAAACCAAAATCCTCACTACAGACAGAGATGACCATCCTGAAGTTACCTTGGTTATTTTCCGAGAAAACAAATACTCAAATAACTGTAGGGTATCATGACAGAGAGGCAGGTGGGTCTCATTACTACAGAACTTCTGGGAGCCAGTGTCATGCTGATGTACATGGAACACTGGAGAGTCATATGCAGACTCCCTTAGAGCAGAGGCCACATCAAAATGTCTGTCAAAGACACAAACCAGAAACACAACATCTTCATCAACAGCAAAACAGCAGCCACAGAACTACACAGATCTCCTAGGAGCCTCACAACTTCAGGATTTTATGCTTTTATTCTCCCGCAGCGCTTTGTCTGGGGTACTTAGGGTTGTGATTTACTGGAAGGAAGGAAAAGGAGACGGAAAGAGACTGGGTAAGCTGCTAAGGAGTGGTGAAGCCTGCTGTCAAACTGCTCTCTGGTTCCAGCATGGCACTGTTGCTTATGATATTCTCTTTTGTCACTTCAAAATAAATTATTTGCTAAATACTGGGCAAGAATTAAAAAAAATGTAGAGTTTGATTTAAATAGAAGCCTAGAGATTTTAAGGCCTTATTTGATGGAACTGGATATGGGGATGATGGTTAAAAAAAAATTCTGTACTTACAATTATAAAGTATATAATCACAATAACCCATAGTTTCCTAATTAGTTAAAATTAACAAGCACTCATGCAACTGGAACCCAAATTTCCTAAGCCACACTCAAGGAAACAGCAAGGTATATAGAGGCCACACTCAAGGCAATAGAGAGGGTACGTGGGAAGCGACGCTCAGGGGAGCAGGTGCAGGCATACAAGGGAGCAGGAGGTATGTGGGAAGCCACACTCAGGGGAGCAGGAGGACGACCACAGGGGAGCAGGTGGAGGACCACAGGGGAGCAGGAGGTATGTGGAGGATCACAGGGGAGCAGGAGGTATGTGGAGGACCACAGGGGAGCAGGAGGA